TGGCTCCCTCCTTGCAAGAGCCCGCCTCCCAGCGGATCGGCGGTTCCAAAATGGCCACCAGTTTCGCGCCCCGCTTACCGAGGGCGCGAAAATGGCGGCGGTATGGAGGAACTTCGCTGAACGGTGAGTATGGAAGCCATTGGAACGCATTAAACTAAGTTTAATGCGTTCCAATGGCTTTTTGCTTTCCGTTTAATGAAGTTTTCACATAGCGAAGGTTAATCCGGAATGGATTAACCTCGCTATGCGAGGCACCACTGTACACCCACCAGATTTTGTTAACTTAAAATGGAACAAAGTAAACATGAACATTAAGGTTAACAAATAGCTCATGATTTCTGTAAGAAACTTCTACTTTAACACAGTGAAGTCACTAATTTCAATCCAGCATTGATAATCTGATAGCTGTTATGTGTGTAGAGTGGCATGGGCTGGCACTGATCAGGGAAACTAAATATGTTACATCCAAGAGGAGAGAAATAAGACTTCCAGGGCAAAAATGGGCTGATAGAAGAGGCCCAGAGGGAGGGCATGTTTTGTCTCTATTTTATTTTATTTTATTTATTTGATTTATATCCCACCCATCTGGTATATTCTACAACTCTTCGGCTGTAGTCGGGCTTTCCTCACTCCACAGATTATGATCCTGCAGAGCAGGCCCACTGAATCAATGGGGATTTAGAGAGTTTAACTCATCCATAAGCGACATTGATTCAAATAGGCTTACTCTAGTTGCCACTTACTTTAGCATGGTAAATCACAATTGGAGTAGGCCCATTTGAATCAATGGAACTTACAGAGGAGCTGACTCAATAAATCCCCATAGATTCAATGGGCCTACTCTAATGAAACTTACTACTATACTCTGTCTGAAATCCAGCAGTAAGTCACAACTAGAGCAGGACCAATGGAACTAAGAAGAAGCTGATTTACCAAATCTCCACTGATTAAGTGGCCTACTCTAGTTGTGACTTATTACTGGTTAACAGCCTCTTCTGTTTTTCCTTCAAACAGTTTAACTGCCACAGTTTCAACGATTTCTGGGAAGGTTGTATCTCCAAGGCTTCAACAAACATATTTTACCTACATTTCAGGCTTGTCACGGAGTCAATGTAAAAGCGGAGTCCGAAAGACTCCACCTATAGGTGTATTTCTTTGTAACATATAAACAGCAGCAACAAAAACTTGAGCCAGTGCATTAATGTATTGGTTGCCCACTTACTTCTTGGTATATTCCACAATCTCCTCAGGAGCAGTGAATAATTTCTGGACCGTTCTCTTTGTAACCTTTTGCTCTCTTGTCAGCTGTTGTATGGCTTGAATTATTTTCTGTGTATGCTTCACACCGACTTTGATGGCATGACAGAAATCTTGCTGCAATACGTTTTCCGCTGATGCTTCCAACATAACTATTCAAATTGAGAGATGGAAGTCAATGAATTATTACTAATACTATTTTTTTTTCATTTTTATTATTATTATTGTTGTCCAAGACCAGCAAAAGACATTAAACATAATTCAGATTACACTGATAAGGCAGTCACAACACTAATACAGAGGAAAATAAGAAAAAAAGTTATATCTTAAAGTCATTACCCATAAAATCTTTATATATCTTGAAAGTCAATTAATCAATGCACAAAACTAAAATACAGTAATTCAAACACTTTAAAGACTAACTGCTATATTTTAATGTGAGATTTTCTGGACAAGTCCACTTCTTCTGACATGAGAATGGGATTTGTAATGTCTAATAAAGTGGACCTGTCCGCAAAAGCTCACCTTAAAATATAGTACTTAGTCTTTAAGATGCCACAACATTTTTGTCTTTTTTATTTTTTCATTTTGGTTTTCTTTTTGCCTGATATATTAACAAATATGTTATTATTGTACAGCTCATTAAAATTATGTCAGGCCACACTGGAGGCATGCACAATCACACATAAAATGTACCAAACATATATCTTAAAATATAGCAAACATGGCATATTATAAGTGTGGTTATGTATGCCTGGCACACCGTTAGTGAGCTTTACGATTACATGCTTTTGTTAATGCTACACATTATTGTGACTGCTCTCTTCTTCGACTAAGTTATACATCAGAATTGTTACCAAACCCTCAGTATGCATTTTGAACAAGATGAAAATCAATCAGTCTGTAACTGACATTCTGTGGTTGCCTACGACTGCTCTCTTCTTCGACTAAGTTATACAGCAGAATTGTTACCAAACCCGCAGTGTGCATTTTGAACAAGATGAAAATCAATCATTACCAAAGTCTGTAACTGATATACTGTGGTTACCTACTTTTATCTTAAAGAAATCCAAGTGGCCAGTGTGTGCTTTGAAAACAGATGCCCAGTATTGCAGGTTCAAGTAATGACTTGTACACATTAAAAAAAGTTTCTCTTGGCTTGATCCCTCTGTTCTTAGAAAGCTTCTCTCTCACTCCTCTTTAGGATTAACTTTAGACTATGTATTTTGGCAGGTTATCCAGGTAAGTTAGTATCTACAGATCTCTCTACATACCTCCCATTTACAAACTACATATTCCATGTTTTCCCCACTGACCCATCATCTTCCTGTCCCCTCTTATTCCAATCCTGTAGCTTCTAACTTCACTCTCCCAAACCAGCTACAATAAATCTGCCTGAAATGTACTCCCTCTGTCTACTACTATTCCAATCCCCCTCCTCCTTTGGCACAAACACTATGGATGTTGAAGTTTCACTAACAAACTCAATACAAAATACAGTAAAGCATTAATCACAGGAATAATCTGACTTCACACATTCACAGACTTCACTTCTCCCTCAACACTCCATATGAGAACCAGAAATCACTCTGAAGTTACTCAAGCCAATATGGGAGGTCTATCTGCGAGTCATCGTTTGATGCTACAATCATCAACGAACAGGCATGCATAAACTGGTCCTCCAAGAGACTTAAGGAAGATTTTGAGGCAATAACAAACAGTTTGACAAATGCTTAATTTTGGAACAGTCTCAGATTATTTTCTGGACACTTGACGATTAAAAGTGATTTTTAATTACTTACCTATTTGGCTAGAAGGAGCTCCAGAAACCACCAAATTTAAAGTACTGGAAGACATTTCCTTTCGAGTAGGATTAATAACAGGTTCTCCATCAATCAGTCCTACTCTTACAGCACCTAAGGAGATACTCCAGAAGTTAAGGGAGTCCATTCATTATGTTTTTGCAATCGAAACAAAACTAGCTCAAGAGCTCATGCAACTACTTGTCAAAAGTCCCTGTAACACTGAAAGATTGACGCATAAAGTTGGATAGTATTTGTCAAGGTAATTTATTCCTGACATTTTGCTTTCAAGCATGCAAGTTTCCAACCAAAGCTTGGAAATAACCAGTACAATAACAAGTTACTGATCATCAATACTTTCTGATAATTAGGCATAGGTATATTAACTTATAAGTCATTCGATAATTAATTTCAGTCCTTTTATAATATAGTTATCAATTTTACTTATTTTTACAGTTACAGGGCTTGGTCTCAACAATAGAGGAGGAATATCAGAAGGTTCAAGTGCAGGCTTATTCTGAGCCTTCTCCTACATTGGGGGTGTTAAGCTAACAATATTTATTTAAAATATGTTTAGGCTGCCTTTCTCCTATACAAAGACCCAAGTCAGTTTACATCATTAAAAGGACAATATTTAAAAGCTAGAAAGAGTAAGTATACAAATATTTAAAAAGAATTAAACAAATACAGTATCTTATTAAAAATGGTAAATAAAATCAATACTAAAAATACACAAAAGCAACAACATGGATGGGAGCAAAATGTGTTCTCCATCACAGAAAAACATTTTCTGCATCACAATATTCTTAAATTAACTAGAGACACCTAGCTGAGTTGCTCGTTATGAATGGGAAAGTAGAGATTTCTTGTTTTAAACTCTAGCTATGTCAATAAATCACAGCTTGCTTCTTCTCACTATCGATATGGAGTAGATATGCAATGATCTAAACAAGTAAATGCACTGTTGCTTGAGCTGGCTGTTATTTGCCAGTAAGGCAACATTCCTGTACACAGGGTATTGTGGGCAAGATTAAAAAACAATTCTGGATACAGTTCTTACAGCATTTTAGCAGTTCCCCATCCTAGTAGCAGTAGTAGCAGCAGCGGCAGTAGTAATCATCCTCATCCTATCTGGTGCACAGCAAATTACTTCTGAAATTGCAGTTTCTAAAAGTTTTATACGAATTCGTATTCCAAGTATTTCCCCATTTTTCTATATATTCTGAAATATTCATATTCTCAGTTGTTTCAAACTCTTTTAAAAATGTATTTAATTTAATTTTTTACTCCATGTTTCTCCTAAAAAAGGACCCAAGATCACTAAAAGGCAATTATTTGAAGCTAAAACCAGTAAGTATATAAATACTAAAAGGATTAAACAAATACCACTCTGAGAATGGTAAACAAAAGCAATAATAAAAACATATTCGAAACAGTAACTTAATAACACTACTTAATAACAATCCTGGGGTAAACAAAAGCAATACTAAAAACATATTCGAAACAGTAATTTAATACGACTACTTAATAACAATCCTGGCAGAGAAAAATAATGGAAATAATGAAAACAATGAAATTAACTCTCTAACTAAACTAAAACTCTAACTAAACTCTCTAACACTACTAAAATTATTATTATTATTACTGGTTAACAGCCAGTTCTAGTCATCATAGTATATGAATTTGAGAATTATTTACTTATCTTGCTTTTAACACTTTAGTAAGACTAGCATACCCTTTTTCTTTTGAAATATATTATCATTTAAACAATTTTTTGTGTTTCTACATTAACATCTTTACTCACCAATGGGACCATTCCATGGAATATCAGACAAAGCAAGAGCCGCGGAAGCTAAAAATAATAAGATTTTTAAAATCTGAAACTGTTCGTTTCATTAACATTATACATTCAGTGGGAGGGGACAGGGTAGAGGTTGCAATAAATCGTTACCTCCATTGATTGCTAGGACTTCAGGATCATTGACACCATCTACAGCCAAAAGATTACAAAGGATCTAGTACAAGAAAAAAAAGGAAAACATGGTTTCTTGCAGTGGTATTTCAAGGTAGTTTTTATGGCCAGAATCCTGCTATGAAAAAAGAAAAAGCACAGGTGCAGAAGAGTAATTGGGCCAGGATTTCTCCCCTTTGTCAAGACATCTGCTGTGTGCACAACAGTTACGCAATAGAGAGAAATCAGTCAAGTGACTGAGCAGCAGATAATCTGTCAAAATAGGGTGGAAAGCCTGTGCAATTAAATGTTCCATATGTTATTTCCAACAGATCTGTGGCCCATAAGTAGAGATAAGTAGAGATGGTGCCCTGCTCCCTCCAGCCAGCACCCACTCAAGTTCCTGCTGGAGGGGATAAGGCACCAAACCGCAGATAAGCCATTTGGCCAGGAAATAAGCTGCTGGTTTGTCATGGTTCATGCCCATCTCTACCCATAATCAAAAACCAATTACTTTATGAATGGATTGCCTTCAAGAACTCGTGGATAAGGGCTGCCTTCTCCCCCATGCTCTTCCACATCTTTCAGGAGGATCCATTTGATTATGGCACCAACTTTACTGAATGCCACTATCACTCACTGATGCCCACCTGGCTGCAGCCTCGTGTTCCTCTCCCTTGCCTCGTCACAATCTGTCTGTGTTTTCGGACAGTGAATAATGGCTCCAGACTTTACCGCAAAAACACAAGGAACTCATACATCCAATGGTATCAGAAGTCAGAATAAGAGACGAGATCTCAGGGTGTAGACAAATGTATATAATCTTTATTCTGATTTTAAAATGCTCAATGTATTTCGGCATTGTTTATAAATAATTTATTTCTGTTTTTATACATCGCTCCCGAAGAAGGTTGAAATGTGTTGTGCATTTTAAAACCAGAATAAAGATATTTTTCTACATCTTGAGACTTAGTCTCTCATTCTGATGCCACACGTTACCTACCTGATTAGGATCAAATATCCTTTGTATACTGCTCATAATTTTATTACTGTTTACATTATTAGCTCAGTTTGAGCTAATAATGCTTCAATACTGATATTATTTATTTTATGATATGTGCTTAAAAACAGAGAAAAGGAACAGTTTCCACTCAATTAAACTTTTGGACTCCCATCCAAGTTTCACATGTAAAACTGGACAATGCTATGTGCTTTCAAGTGTTGCCATGATAGCTATACACAATTTTCTAGCATTGTATGAAAGGAAAAGAGAAATGTTTCATCATATAGCCTCTTAAAGGGAGGCCAGGTCTAACAATAAAGTGACATTGCCCATGATATTTAAATAGGATTAAAATACAAAACCGCCATTTCATAGTTCTATAACATCAACAGCACACTAATAGTGAGTCTAAAAGGAGTAACTGACTAAAGTAACTTACCTGTGTATCATAATAATAGCCTTCTGGAAACAGTGGTCTAATTGATCTATCTGTAAAACAAGAATAAATAAAAATGAGATTCAATTTATTTAAAATATGTTCATATTGTTTTAAGCACAAGGGAAATAAAAACCAGTAACACTACAATAAAGAACTATCAAGAAAAAGGCATGGAAAACAGATAGGTGTTCACAGCTTTCCAAAAAGCCTGTAATAATGGGATCCAGGAAATCTTTCTTCCTCGTACTAACCAAGCAACTGTTGTCTATAGTTTGGTGATTCACAGTTCCATGGATTGGATAGGAGCCGTGATCTGGATAGAGTTGCTCTCCCACTGCAGGAACAGATGTGTAGGCTACTGGATTCATCTTTGTTAACTGAAGGCTTATGTGAGGCCAGTGCCTTGGAGCATCTGGGGCCAGCTTCAACTGGTTTGCCAACTATGACCATTCCTGGAGTGGCGCAACCTTGCCCTGGTAACCTCCAACTTAAGACTACTGCAATGCATTCTATATAGGGTGATCCTATGGAGGCTGCTAGCACGAACATCTTTCAAAGCCCACATGACACCAGCTCTGAAAGATCTGCACTAGCTTGCCAATGTACTTCTGCCGTCCGAGTTCAACACATTGATGGTTACCTATAAAACCCGAAGCAGCTTGAGATTTGGATATTTGAAGGTGTGCTTCTCCCTTTATAAAACCTGCCTGATCACTAAGATCTGCTGGGGAGACCCTCCTCTGCATCTCACCATAGAGCACTGTGCATTATGTGAAGATATGAGGGAGGGCTTTCTCAGTTGTACTACACTGACAGCAGAATGTCCCTCCTTTGGAGGACTGACTGGTGCCAACATTGACATCATGTTGATGCCAAATCAAAGCATGCGTCTTTAATGCAACAATGTTAATGGTATGTGTTTTAAACTGTTTTAATTTCAAATTGCTTTCAAGATTCTAGGATTCTAAACTGCCTTATGTGGCTCTGCAATCCTGCCTGAGAACTTGCAATATAAAGTGGGACATCCCCAAAGACTGTTTTAATTTCAAATTGCTTTCAAGATTGTAGGATTATAAACTGTCTTACGTGGCTCTGCAATCTTCCCTGAGAACTTGCAATATATAGTGGGACATCCCCAAAGGAAATGAATGGTAAACCACTTCTGAGTACCCTCAACCTGGAAAACCCTGAAAGAGGTTGCTGAAAGTCAAAATTGACCCAGGGGCACATGATGATGATTATGTTTAAAATAAATAAGGGGGGGGGGAGAATTAGAGGAGTTCAAAGAGGCCAGAGGTGGGATGCAGACACTTATTTCAGACCTAAGCCTCCTTCAGCCCATAGCAACGACGCTAGTGGAAAGTCAGATCAAAGTAAGAGTACTCCTAAGTTAGTTCTAACGTCCCTGTGCTGGGAGATAATTTGAATTCTGCAGAGCTGTGGCCAGCCTAATATCAGCCCAGGTGGCCTTAAGCTATTTTGGCCATGAAAGATCTCACAGGAAGGAGCTTTTGTCCACTGGATGTGTTATCTTCTTTGTTCCTGTCTCAAATTGTTTTCAATTTAATTGTTTTAATATTTTAACCCCTTTTGTTCCTCAGTTGCCTTTCTTAAATTCACTCTCTTTTGAGAAAGGTGTAGTTGGTGTGCTAGGCATCCAGTAAACAAACTATAAACAGTCATTCTGATGCTCTCTGGGCGACTTACAACATTTAAAATACAATAAAAATACAGAACAATTAAAATACAATTAATATGTATATAAAATTGCCACCAGACCCACAACTAATATTATTTCAATTAAAAGCCTTCTGGAACAGGAAGGTTTTGACCTGGCGCCGAAATGTCATCAGCGTCGGCGCCAGACGAATTTCAGTTGGGAGGGCATTCCATATTCTGGGGGCAGCTGCCGAAAAGGCCCTTTGTCTACAAGCCATCCCTCTTACCTCCTTGCAATCATTATGAAAGAATACAGGCCAATCTTTATAGGGCATACCTATTAGTCTGCTTGTAAGAATTTCTCTGTCTGTAAGACCTAGTTCTCTTCGCAAGTAGTTTGTAGGAATTCTTCCTGCTGCAGCAGCTTTTTGACGATAATCAACCTTATGAAGGAGAGACAGTATTATTATTACTTTATTAATACGTACAGACATACTAAGACACCAGCTTATCTGGTCCACACAGAGCTATGAAATAATGTTACGGTTACTTTTTTGTTTAGTGATTTAGAGTATATTAAACTTCTGTAATTATAAGCACAGTTACATACTAGGTGCAATACTTCAGTATGATTCCTTGTAATACTTACCACCAAAGGCATGAACTGAGATGCAGAAGGCTTTGTTTTGCTAACTGCTGTCACCATCACTGCTGTATCACCTAGCTTACATTTTTAAAGGGAAAAAGGAAAAGAGATATTAACCACACTGCTTGAATTCGTGGTAGTAAGCAGATGCATGTCTATTTCTCAAACATCTCAGAGTAAAGGTATAGAAAGGTTTTCTACCTGTACTACAGCACATCCATCAGCAAATCTGGCTAGTTTTCCAGAAGAGATTTTCAATGTCCTGGAAAACAGAATTTAAAAAAATAAAAAGACATTAAGCCTACTTTAGTTAAGGTTTATGGGATGTGGTGGCGCTGCGGATTAAACCGCAGAAGCCTCTGTACTGCAAGGTCGGAAGACCAGCAGTCGTAAGATCGAATCTACAAGATGGAGGGACTGCCCGTCGCTTGTCCCAGCTCCTGCCAACCTAGCAGTTCAAAAGTATGTAAAAATGCGAGTAGATAAATGGGTACCACCATGGTGGGAAGGTAACAGCGTTCCGTGTTTAGTTGCGCTGACCACGTGACCACGGAAACTGTCTATGGACAAACGCTGGCTCTATGGCTTGGAAACGGGGATGAGCACCGTGCCCTAGAGTTGGACACAACTGGACTAAATGTCAAGGGGAAATTTTACCTTCACTCTGTCTTATATCCTGTCAGTGGGGGTTTGGAGTACATGGCCTTTGAGATCCCTTCCAAATCTAATTTTGTTTATCTGGGAACTGATAAGATACAGGAGGCAAGAAAGCAGAGAGAGGGAACTATCAGGAAGAACATATTCTAGGTACTTCTTACTAATGTTTTTTTTCTACAATTGCCCTCCTTTATTCATAATTTTTTACAGGGGGTCAAGATAACATCTTGCATATGTAGCCCTCCTTTGTTTTTCACGTTTTTCCATATGTTCTCAGAATGGCTAATAGCTGTACAATGCATTTTAGCTAGCAGTCCACTATCTGAGAGCATCCACTCAAAAATGATCCTGCAGGAAAAAAATTTAAACCTATTACAAAGTGTATTGACTACACACTCTGGCTTTGCCAAGTACAGGTTGCTCAGTGTGCATGTTTTCCTACATGTTCATTTGTACATCCAACCTCTTACACAACTCTCTCATGCTTGTCCCCTACAAAGATGTTCTTTTTACACAGGAAAAGCAAAATATACAAAATGCTTCCAACTCAAAACATTCTGCTCCATGACTACACACTTCCAATAGTCCATTTTCCACGCAGGGTTATGAACCAAATACAGCCAACATTTTGTGTTGTGTGAAACAGAGACATTTTTATTTCAATAGTCTAAAAACAATGGGGCAACAGAAGTGAAAGGCCAGCCAGTGCATGTGAAATTGAATCTTTTATTTAAAACCCATGCGTATACCATACACTAGACATCCTGAGAAGTTTCAAAAAATCTGAATATTAAAGATACAATCAATTTTTTTTCTTGGGCAAAAACCAGCCAGCAATTTTTTCACACAATATCAGTGGCAGCCCTGGAAACAGGAACACAGGTTGATTAAAGCGTGTTAAACAGTTACTGGATGATGATGGCTCTATCAATTAATGACCTCCTAAAGATACTATCTTTTACAAGCCTGCTCAAATCTTTCAAGCTCAAGGCCACAATCTCCTTTATAAAGGGAATCCATCTCATGTTAGGTTTTCCACTTCCCCTTCTCTTTCGAGTGAACCATAACTAAAGCATGAAAAATCCTGAACCACAGAAAAGAGGAAAGTGCCTGGGAAGAAATGCACATATGCAAAACTATAAAACAGAACAAGAAATACAGAAAACAATCTTGTGATCCATTTATAGCAACTAAGTGCAAGGTTGAGCAATACCTTAATGGATCACCAAAAAGTTACAGGTAAGATAAGCTACATAACTCTGCATCAGGAAAAGGTGTCATAAAACCTGCCATTAAGCCAAACAATTCAAAACAGAGTATTGGCTCAAAAATAAAAAGCCCACCAAAATGAAGTTTAAAATCCACCACACAGAGCTGTCAAAGGCGGTCTTCTCCAGATTGCCCCCTCCTGTCAAATTTTCTACTTCAAGTGAATCCACACAGGAATATGCAAAACTATAAAACAGAACAAGAAATACAGAAAACAATCTTGTGATCCATTTATAGCAACTAAGCGCAAGGTTGAGCAATACCTTAATGGATCACCAAAAAGTTACAGGTAAGATAAGCTACATAACTCTGCATCAGGAAAAGGTGTCATAAAACCTGCCATTAAGCCAAACAATTCAAAACAGAGTATTGGCTCAAAAATAAAAAGCCCACCAAAATGAAGTTTAAAATCCACCACACAAAGAGCTGTCAAAGGCGGTCAATTCCTGAGTCTTCTCCAGATTGCCCCCTCCTGTCAAATTTTCTACTTCAAGTGAATCCACACAGGATTTTTTTTGGAACTTTGCGGGGGGGGGGAACGGAAGCAAGAGTTCAGCTTTTTACAACTTTACAAGAAATATGTGTTTATTTTCAAAATGTCTCGAGGCTCAAAGCCAAGTTGAGAGGCATGCTATCTGCCCTAGAAGCTTCCACAGATTAAATATGCTTCCACAGATCCTCGGTCTTAGGCAAAATAGAAATGGAGAAAAAACAACAACAACCCACGTGTCACCTTTAACTGTTATACATTCTAATGTGAGCTTATGGGGATAAGGTCCACTTCTTCAGACATATAGAATAAAATGAAATGCAGAATTCACCAGTAAAACATTCACTGACTTTAGGGTGATCCTCCAGGCGCTCGGCTGAGAGAAACCTATTTCACACGTGTCTGAAAGAGGTGTTTCAACGAAGAACCAAAAAATGTCTGGGTCCCTTCCTCAGATTCTAGTCAGCAGACAGGGCAACATCATCCTCCACGTGCTTGCAAGTCCCTTGGTTTATTGCACCTTCTTAAAGCAATCTCGGTGCTAAGTCTCGCAGCAGGTAATACTGAGCCCCCCCCCTTTTTTTGCTGCTGCTTAAACGGCCAAGGGTTTCCTAGCACTTAAAGGGAAAGGCACTCTGTACGTCCTCAGGAACTAACTTCACGCCTCTTTGGAATGAGATCTCTGGGCTGGCTCGAGAAGATCCCCAAGCCCAGCTGAGGCAGAGAGACGCATGACCGGTTCCTCACCTGCCCCCTATGTCCACGGACAGCGATTTAGGGCCTTTCGCGGAGCTCCACAGGCCTCTAGCCATCCTCAGCCTCGCCGGCCACAGGCCGACGGGCGCCCTCCACCAGGGCCCCATAGCGCCCGCCGCCTGGGAAGCCGCCGCGACCCTCGGCAGCCCGGCCGTCGCCTTCCGCCTCAACAGAAAACCACCCCTCACACAGGCGGCGGCCATGACACCGGGGGAAAGGGGCCGCCTCCGACTAAGCCGCGAACTGATTGGGCCGCCGCAACAAGCTGCCGCGCCATTGGCTGCTTCGCGCGGCGCAAGAGACGAAAGAGGAGGAAGGAGCGAATTAATGGAGGAGGCCATTGGTGGGCGGGGCCTACGGGGAGTACGGCACGATGTTCGCTTTCGATTCCCGAGTCTGTTCGGGTGATGGCCTAGGAGTAGCGCGCGTTCGCCCTCTAGTGGCCGATGCTGTGTCACCTATTTATACCGAGGAGTGAAGGTCTGATAATTCGGTCTCTATGCTGCTGGTCCAAGTCTGATTTTGAGCAACTTTTCGGCATCCTCATCCTAGGCGGCTACATTATCATCATCATCATCTGGAACTGCGGAGCTGGAAAGGACCTCCATGGATCATGGAGTCCAGCCCTTGTCAGGGAGGCAAACGGGGGAATCGAACTCTAGGCAGCAAGAGACCTAAGGCACTGTTTTTGGACTAAAGAGTTTTAGTCCAAAGATCTTCACCACCAGCTGTGCTGGCTGGGGTTTCTGGGAGCTGCAGTCCGATAACACCTGGGTTACCCAAAGTTGGGAATCACGGGTGTATCGGATCATTATATGATTGAATAAACACACAAAATTAATTAATTTTATTCTGCATTATCCGTAAGATGCATGGTAGGTTGATTTGAAAGACATAGGGAAAGTGTGCAGAAATAATGATGGGCGAAACCTAAAGCTGATTCTATTTACTGAAACAAATTAAGAGTTGTTAACTGTAAGTAGCTTAAGACATACTGATTTTAAAGGGTGTATTCTGGACAGAACAAGCAAGTAAATATTTATGAGTGACATAGCTACATATAATTAATTACTTTGGGTGATAAGTAGTATAACTTCTAGGTGTAATCAGTAACTTATAAGTAACTTATAAGTTAGGTAAATACTCCTGCATAAGGACTAGCAGTTAGTTACTTTTCAATGTTATTTTCAAGGACGTTTATAGAGATCCCAGTGTTATGCTAGTCTCTAAGCTATCATTAGCACTAAGAGAAGTATTCTTTGATTTGTATCTTTACAGAAATATTCCAGTGAACGATATCAGAATTAGCTACTAAAGGAAACTGGAAAAATTCTCAACCTTTTGGTAACAACAGCTGTATTAACAATAAAGGATTGCTGACTGGAGCAATGGTCAGAGTACCAGGAATGAAGAAATAATTGTTTCCTTTGAGAATAAAATTGTTTTATTTGTTTGTTTGTTTGCTTGACTTCCATCCCACTCATCTAGTGGCAAACCCCTGCTCTCTGGCACTTGCAGAGGTACATAGAAGACAACATTGAACATAAAATAATGCATAAAAGTAACAGTAACATAATAGCGAGCCAAGCCTCGTAAACATAAACAAATACTGTACCACATAACAAACTCCCCGCGGATGGCGATGACAGATCAATTGAAATTTACCCAAAATAAATTGAATTGTCTCTCTTGAGGGGAGAATGGACTTCTAAGTGTCTGTTTAAATAGTACTGTTTTCACCAGCTTCCTGAAGGACAGCAGGGAGGGAGCTCAGCACACAAAAGCAGGGACTGAATTCCATAAAGTCGTAGCCACCACTGAAAAGGCCCAGTTCGATTGGGTGGGCTGGGTGGTGGATTTTAGTGAGAGATGCTCTGACACGTACTGAGATCCAAAATTAGTAAGACGCTTTCCTTTTATAATGTAAAATGTCATGTTCCAAATTCTCACTGTAGGTAGAACTACGGTAACAGTGGATTTTTGCCTTCATCTTCAACTTTCAATGAAAAATAGTAATTTTTGAAGCATGTCTGATATCCAAGTAGCTCTTGTAAAAATATGGAATGACCAAAGGCAGATCTGGAAGAAGACAGGAGAAACTGTCTAGTTTAAAAAGTTCGATTTCATCCCTTAGGGCCTCAACAGAGATCAAGGGTTCCTGCTATGCTACATATACCAATAACTCAGCTTTCTCTAGTGTCTCTTGGGTACAAAATAATGGTTTTCCTTGACATACTTTGACCCCTTCCCCTTCTTACTGTCCCCAGTGCCTCCCTCCCTGGTTTTGCTGCCTCCTCCTCTTCCTCCTCCATCGTCCATAGAAACTAATGGGAAGCTGCTATTCCGCCTTCTGCCACTAGAGGGGGATAATTTTTTTCTTTTTTCCTTTTAACCTAAGATGACTTAGCTTTTAAAAAAAGGGGAAAAAAGAGTTCGTAACTCGAATCTAAGTTCGTAAGTCGAGTCCATATATTCCTATGAGAGTGGTTTGTAAGTCGAAACGTTTGTATGTCGAGCCATTCGTAAGTCAAGACCCCACTGTACCAATAACTCAGCTTTCTCTAGTGTCTCTTGGGTACAAAATAATGGTTTTCCTTGACAGACTTTGACCCCTTCCCCTTCCTACTGTCCCCGTTGCCTCCCTCCCTGGTTCTGCTGCCTCCTCCTCTTCCTCCTCCTCCTCCTCTGGCTTTGCCATCTTGAGACACAGCCGTCCTGGCTTCCCTTCCTGCTCTGCGCATGTGCCCAACAATCCGCAGGTAGGTGGACGCTTGTACAGAGACAGCAGGCCCAGCTACCGGAAGGGAAGCCGGGACAGCAGTGTCTCAAGAGGGAGGTGGAGGCAGCGGATGAAGAGAAGGCAAATGGAGAGGACAACATGCCCACCTTTAGTGGCGTAGCGTGGGACAAGGCATTGTGGCGCTCCCTACAAATCCTGTGCCTGGGACAACCGCTTCTGTGCTCTTGCGCTATGCCACTGACTGTGGCAGCCACAGCATGGGAGAAGGAAATGTTAAATTAACCAAAAGTTGCTGGTGCTGGTAATATTTATTTATTTGTCTGTTTATTTATTTGTCTTATTTATAGGGTGCCTTTCTTGGGGATGTTGGTAAATCTTTGGGTCTGAATCTGAAGTCCAAGTCTTTGGTATCAAGTACTTTGGTATCAGGCCCCAAATCCAAGTCCCTATTAAAAACAAACTCCCCCCCCCCAAAAAAGTGAGGGAGTGGTTAGGTTCTGTGGTGTGTGTGGAGGTCTGAAGCTTGTGAACCACCTGCTTTGGGTCCCATCTGCCCTGCCTGACTTGCTTTCCCTCACCCCTCCACCCCCTCAAAAACCCTCCCTCCCCATCACTACCTCCTCCTCTGCTGTTTGTCACAGTTTGACTGCCTCTTCAGCATCTTCTTGTGAGCGGCGCAAAACTTCTTCCATGTTTTACGGTGTCCTTCATTAAAAGAATAGGGACTTGAAAACATGACTTGGAATAATGAGACTGAGTCACAAGTCACGTCTGAGTTGTTGAGAAAAAAACCCTGAGTTGAATTTGAGTCAAGCCGCCTGTGAGACTTAAGTCCGACTCAGCTTTCTCCTAACAAGGGGAGCCAAGGTGGCTAACAGAACTAAAACAAATAGAATTAGAAACGTAAGTTATACATTAAAAACAGCTAAATTATACAACGGATGAAAATGCAGTTGAATAATTTAAAACAGGTAAAATGTTAAAAGCTCTCTCAACTTAAAAATGGCATTCGGCGACCCAGCGATGACTGTTAAAATCCTGCCTGAAAAAGTAATATCACCCTGGGAGTGGCGATTTTTGGTAATTAAAAATGTCCTCCTCTTGTTATATCGCTCCCATGAGTCCAGAGCTGTGAAGATTTACGGTACTTTTTCATGCTGTAATTCCAAGATTCCTCTATCCAGCATAGCCAGGGGCTTCTTCTAATGATGGGGCTACCTGTAACATCTCTTTGCATACTCTCTGTATAAAAATATGTGGTGAAATCACATTAATTTAAGTAGGAGAATTACACACCCCTTCAAAGATATCCTGTTAAAACCAGAAATCTAAACTGCTTATTTATTATTTTTATTTATTTGGTTTATATGCTACCTTTCTCTCCATGGGAGACTCAAGTGACTCACAGTTGGTTAGAACAACTCAATAATCACAATTAGAGATTGGCAGGAACTGCCAGTTTGGTGGTTCCTGCTGGTTTTGTGAATTGTCGGACAGGCTGGATGCCCCGTCCCCTCTGTTGGGCGCCCACCCAGAGGCAGTACCAGAAGGAGGAGGGCAGGAAAGCCCGGGCACTGCTCCCGAGTGAGCACCTGCTGGAGGGAACGGGCGTTGAACTGTGGAACACCTGTTTGGCCATCTGCCGAACCATCACTAATGGTTGGTCTCTAATTACAATGAAAAACACCTTAAGATGTAGTGTTAACAAAAGGGAGATGCCTAACAATATTAAAAGGTCACCATTCTTAGGCATCCTTCAGTCTCGAAAGACCATGGTAAAGCGCTCTGTATGAATGTCCTGTCCAGAGCATGAAGCCTGGGTAGAATAATATGGAGGATAGGCTGTTACCCAAGCAGCAAAAAGGCAAGAGCCAATGCAACTGGTTCCAGCGACGTTGCAGGAGCTGACAGAATGACATGAACTGCCTCCGGGACTCCAGCTCCGGATTTTGCCTCGAGGTTAACTCCTGAAGCCTTTTCCATCAGTGGATATAGCCACAAGGTAGTGGAGGTTTGAAATCAGTTTTTCTTCTCCTAGATGGGCTGCCTTCCAAGGCTGATGAGCCCCGTCTACCCGGTCCAGGTGGATCGCGTTTAGCCAGAACTCCCCACTATGCCCTGTCTGTCTTGGGTGTCCCTGCATGGCATAGCCCATGGCGTCTCTGAATTACTCAAGCCCCTTCGCCACGACAAGGCAGCAATCCGTG